TCGTTGTCTCTGGCCCTGGACCCACGATTTTATGAGGCCAGAAAAACTGTGAATTAGGACCCGCCGGCCGGTACTAGGCCAAGTGGAAACGCAACCAAAGACGGGCCGCTGACGTCACAGCTCTCTTAAACCGTGCTCCGCGCTGTAGTGGAAACGCGCCATTAGTGATGGTAGATGACTATGGTAGCCAACTGTTAGCTATGTAAGACGTTTTTTTAGCAATGTAAGGGGGATCTTAGAAATGAAATAGGACTCTTAACGATGTTAGACGTCTGTAAGCAATCTTTGAAGACTGTTGGCTATGTAAGTTAAGACGTTAGCTTACATTAGCAATGTTAGCTCACTTTTGGCAAAATAAGAAGGCATTTAGAAATGTTAGCCGACTTTTTATGATGTTATACAATTGAGAGCGATGTCAGAAGGTCTTTAGTGAAGTTTGACGACTGTTATTGGTTTTGAAAGACTGTGAGCGATGTTATAAGATAAGATACGATAAAATAAGGTAAGAGGAACTTTATTGATCCCAATTTGGGAAATGTTTGCAGCAGCATAAAAAGACAAGGCATTGCATATGAGTAAATATTAAAGAGTACTATCTCAAAATAGAATGAAGCAGCATTAAAAAATAGAAAATATACAGTAGACCGTGGAGATAAAACTATTGAAGGGCTTTAGATGTTATAAGACTGTCAGTCCAATGTTTGTAATGTTAGAGGTCTGTTAGCTATGATAACTGAATCTTACACATGTTATTCCTCACATACACAATGATTGGCTGAATTGTAACCGGAACAGCATTAAGAAATAGAAACAGATCAATTTAATTTAAATAAAACATACTGATGGTAAACAGTGAGAGTCAGTGAGGCCTTTGAGTCATATCCACATGTCCATCCAGCAGCCAGAGATGTTAAAGTACACGCATCCTTTACTCAAGTAGCAGTACAGATACTCGTGTTTAAAAATACTCTGGTCAAAGTAGAAGTACTGACTAAACTTCATTACTCAAGTCAAAGTAAAGAAGTATGGGCTTTGAAATGTACTTAAAGGGGACCTATCATACAATATGCAGTTTTTTTTTTCTATCAGAAACAATGCCCGACTGTTTTGGACGTAATATGGTCGGTGTTTACATTAGCATCGCTAACACTCAGAGCTAACCTGTACTGGAGAGCATGTGTGTGAAGAAGCAGGAAATAAAAAGGAACTCACCTTGTGGTATAACCGGCAAGAGAGAAAGCCTTTGAGCTCCATACTGTTTCAGAGAGAATCCTTGATAATCCATGATATGGCGTTTCATCACCGCAGCATCTGCCGGTAGAATCTCCCGCATGAGCAGGCATAAGCTCCGCCCCTCTTTTTTATCACTGTTTTTTAAGCTTTATACCCAAAATCACTTTTGAAACAGGAAGTGAAATAGAGGGATATGAGGCATGGCTAGAATGGGTGATCTGTTTGGTATTTTGAGAAAACACTTCATAGACATGTTTTTTATATATTTGTATATATCTGAGACCTATGCTATTGCCTACAAATAGCATGATAGGTGACCTTTAAGTAAAAAGTACCCATAACTAGCAGCTGTTTTAAAGAGTACCTGACCTCCCTTTATATTAATAGAACAATAATGTCATTGTTAGCTAATGAATGTTTCCATGCTGAACAACGGCAACATGACAACGTTTTCATTGGTCCCTCTTCTTTAGAGAAGACCAGGAAATGATGGATACACGGATCGTGTTCAAATCAATAGGCACGCAATGACTCTAAATAATAATGATCACGCCACCAAAACACACATTCAAACTAAAGGAACCAGCCTGTTTGGAAAATGTGAGAAGTAGAAAGTACAGGTATTTGTGTTTCAACATGTAAGAAGTAGAAAGTACAGGTATTTGTGTTCAACATGTAAGAAGTAGAAAGTACAGGTATTTGTGTTCAACATGTAAGAAGTAGAAAGTACAGGTATTTGAGTTCAACATGTAAGAAGTAGAAAGTACAGGTATTTGTGTTCAACATGTAAGAAGTAGAAAGTACAGGTATTTGTGTTCAACATGTAAGAAGTAGAAAGTACAGGTATTTGGGTTCAACATGTAAGAAGTAGAAAGTACAGGTATTTGTGTTCAACATGTAAGAAGTAGAAAGTACAGGTATTTGTGTTCAACATGTAAGAAGTAGAAAGTACAGGTATTTGTGTTCAACATGTAAGAAGTAGAAAGTACAGGTATTTGTGTTCAACATGTAAGAAGTAGAAAGTTCAGGTATTTGTGTTCAACATGTAAGAAGTAGAAAGTACAGGTATTTGAGTTCAACATGTAAGAAGTAGAAAGTACAGGTATTTGTGTTCAACATGTAAGAAGTAGAAAGTACAGGTATTTGGGTTCAACATGTGAGAAGTAGAAAGTACAGGTATTTGTGTTCACATGTAAGAAGTAGAAAGTACAGGTATTTGTGTTCAACATGTAAGAAGTAGAAAGTACAGGTATTTGTGTTCAACATGTAAGAAGTAGAAAGTACAGGTATTTGTGTTCAACATGTAAGAAGTAGAAAGTACAGGTATTTGTGTTCAACATGTAAGAAGTAGAAAAGTACAGGTATTTGGGTTCAACATGTAAGAAGTAGAAAGTACAGGTATTTGTGTTCAACATGTAAGAAGTAGAAAGTACAGGTATTTGTGTTCAACATGTAAGAAGTAGAAAGTACAGGTATTTGTGTTCAAAATGTAAGAAGTCAAAGTAAAAAGTCGTCAGAAAAATAAGTAGTGGAGTAAAGTACTGATACCAGAAAAATGTACTTGAGTACAGTAACGAAGAATTTGTACTCCACTACTCCCCAGCTCTGACAGCAGGTAATCAAAAGGCTGTGTCTTCCCTCTTCTGACACAGCAGATATCCTGTTATTGATCTCTACATGTTTGCACACATGAACATGAATGCGTGTTTCTGGCAGAGATCTGATGGTGTGTTCTCTTCTGGTTCCCCTCCCTGCAGCACCAGCGCTGACGTGTTGGAGATTTAATGAGATCGTTTTCACCCACACTCCTGCTTTTTATGAGCGTCTCACTTTTACACTTTGTGCTCACGGAAAGACAGAAAGATATCAGCGTCATTAATCTGAGCAAAGGACATTTTCATCTCCTTTTTAAATTACACTTCTGTCAGTTTTATTATATCCTAAGAAATGGGGGGAAAGTATACTGTAGTTAACTTTTTGAAGTACTTACAGATATTTCCATTATTTGTTTCTTTCTACTTTACCATATCTCTTAGGGAAACACAACATAAGTCCACGTGACATTTATTTGACAGCTTCAGTAACTAGTTTCTTTTCGAATTAAGATTATATGCACAAAATGTCCCGTCTTTTTTTTACTTTTAGTCGCTGAAAGAAAATGTGTTTTTGAGGCCTTTTGCAATATTTCACACGTCTGTGAGTTTGATAGTTTTCAGGTTGTATTTCTGTGGCAGAGAAAGAGGATGCATTAATGTCAGGAAAGAACATTTTCATCTACTTTTAAAATACAATTCTGTCATTTCTATTCCATCCTGAACACTGTTTAGCCTTATGTAGTAAACTAGCTTTTCAAAGTACTAATTTATTGTATTTCCAATTTCTGTTTCTTCCTTCTTTCTACTGTTACTCGTTTGAGGAGAATACACTAACATGAGACTGCATGAGATATGTTTGTGGGTGTTTTTTGTACTTTTTGCCTCTGACATTAAGTGTTTATTTGAGTCTCTTTTTACCATCTTTTACACCACATTTGAAACAGATGGTTGAGTGAACAGAAACACCTTTTTTTCATTTTGTGTGACAAACAGGAAATGAGTTTTGTTTGAGATAAAGTGGAGTCTGCATGAAGAGGTGCAGCAGTCTTCTGGCTTTTAGCTGACGGATGCTATCAGCTGCAGCTAATTAACATTTATGCTTCGAGTCCGACAAACTACAAACTGAAACGCTCGACTGTCGTCTCTGGAATCAGCTCTGTGAGCCGCTGTGTGTAACATCAACATTCAAGTAAAGCACACAGAAAGAAACAGACTCATTTCTGTTGTTGATCGACACTTTATTTTGTTTCATGATTATTATACAGCGTTATACTTATACTCCATCACATGTTGCCTCGTTAAGGTTAAGGTTTACAAAACAAGAATCGTTTGAAATATGGGGTGAAAAAAGTCACAATTCCGAGACAATAGTCTTAATCTTCAGAATAATTTCAAAAGTCTCAGAAAAATGTAAAATGTGATCGAAATGTGATAAAAACTTTCAACCTGAAAAATTCAAAATCTGAGAAAATTCAAAAATCGGTCAGGAATCTGAGAAAAGTAAAAAGTCTGAGAAAAAAGTCAATCATCTGAAAATGAGTCAACAATCTGACAAATAGTCAACCATCTGAAATTCAAAATTCTGGGACAAAAGTCAAATTTCTGAAAACATTAAAAAAAATCTGAGAATAGTCCAATTCTGAAGAAATCCAGAAAAAAAAACATTCTGAAAAAGTTTCTAAAAAAATAAAAAACTACATATTGAGAAAATTGTTGAAATAAATTCTAAATTGTGAAACAAATGAATAAATAACAAATTCTGCCACAACTGTGCGCTTCAAAAGTGCAACTCAGCACAAATATCAATAATTGTTATAAAAGTCTAAAACTAGAGGCCTTGATGATGTCATTCTTTATAAAGCCTTCTTTATCAATTGTTTTCTAACCCAACAATAAACAGATACTTTTGAACCTGAATTTCCCAGTTTGTCACGTTGACTCGTACAGAAACGCTGTTAATGATGCATCACTTGTATATAGACTCTTCTGGCACTACTTCTATTCTATTTGATCTGTGTCATTGTGTTGCTCTGTTGGAGGAGCCTGGGACCTCAGATGTTCATCGACATAACTACACTGTGTACAAATGAGAATAAAAGCCTTGAATCCTTGAAGGACTTCAATCTGCATTTCCCTGTAAATACTGAGTCTGTAATATCCGTGTTTTCTCAG